TACCACAGCTGTCTTTCCATCCTCCTTATGCCTATGTTTGTTTGTACTACGCTTATGCTTCTTTTTATCAAAGATTTAGTTGGAAACTTTTGAATGGATAGATTTTGGTGGAACCACAGCCCACGCTAAGCAGTGCCTGTTGCGTGACCCCTGGCCCCACCATGCGAAATTCCAGGTCAACAGGATACTTTGGTGCGAAGGCTTAAGTGCCGTAATACTCGTCGCGGTCAGCCATGCGCTCTGATGTCACTTGACCTTTGACGCTGCCGCTGCCGCCGGCCGCAGGCCATCTCCGTCGAGAACAGATGGCTAACGCAAAAGGTTCCTAAAGCTTAGCCCGCCAAGGGTGTGTAGAACGGAATGCACGCGCTCCAACCAACTGGTCAACCAGGATGGACACGTGATACATCACGTCCATTTACAAACCACACAGATCAAGTCAAGTTTAAGATCACAGCCAAGGTCGTGTGACTTGAACGCTGACCACAGTAGTTGGACCCGCACCGTTTCCTGCTAAGGGCGTCCTAGTTATTTCCATGGATAAAAATACTGCTGCTAGCTATATATGGATCTGGAATGCGTGCGATCGCCAACCGAAACCACGCAGCAGCCATTAATGTGTTCTCTTTTTGAGGAAGATGATGGAAGCGCTTGCCCTGTCTCCCCTCCCCCCGTCTGTACCGCCACTGGTTTCTTCCTTTGGCAGTTGTAAGATGTGCTCTTGTACAATCGTTCATGACGGTGGAAAACATTACAGTCTGTTTGCAACGTCGCTCTTTTGTCGGCGTACTTGTCTATCGGTACTCACCACGCGCACTTTCAGCCTTTTAGACCTCTCAGTCCTTGCTTTGCATGCGTATCAAAATTGAACTCTCATGGTTCTTTTTGCTGGGTGAAACCAGTCAGCTTTAGGCTGAAATGCCATGGTGATGGTGCCCCGAGGAAGTTGGCAGCGAAACAGGTTGTTGCCCCTTTCTTTCCAGGCAACGTCGTCATACTGTTAAATGGCTGAATCTGGATGTATGTGACCAGTCTGGCGACGTCAACTCGGCGCACGACACTGTGTTTTTTTGGCGCACGACACTGTGTTTTTTTGGTGCACGACACTGTGTTTTTTTGGTGCACGACACTGTGTTTTTTGGGTGGCGGAGGTGGGAGTATTGGGCAGATTTTCTGATGTCCTCCTTTTGCTCCGTTTTTATCACTTACGCCTGCTTCCATCGAAGCTTGACGATACGCTGTTCATTTAACTGACTTTTAACAGCGCAGTGCATCACGTTATGTTTGCTGCACAGCCCAAGATGCCCAAGATATTTACCTTTCATGACTGAGCACAAACATGTTCGTAGACCTTAGAACAGAGCACGCGCCTAAAGGAATGCGATACCTTTCCCATCCTTACCATTCTTCTAGAAGCGTAAGCCACATTTTGGCTCAAAACATCAAGTTATCTCTTTTTTGTTATGCATTCCAGAGGTTTCAGTCTAGCTAGCCCCAGTGCCAGATCTCCGCACAACTACCGTTGTCACGTTATACACGCTGCTGCAATGTTTCGACGCCACCGAACCCTTAAGATGCACGTCCCTTTAGAATATTGTGTTCTCGCCTTCTACAGCAGCGAGATTCACCTCAAGATACCTCCATTCGTAAGCTATTCGACTCAATCAGAGCAGTCGCATCAAATATCTGCAGGCTGAGGGACGGCACAATGTCTTTGATCGTCACCATGGCTCACCTGCTTTCACACAATGAATGAATGGGGCAAAGTTCAATAAAGTCGGCCGGCTCACGGACAGCGCATGAGCTTCTTATCGGTTACCCAAGAATACTGCCGGCGGCGACTGAGCATGCATTGCGACTCGTGATAGTTCGCCGCTACGAAAGTTTCAAATTTCATACCTTTAGCTCAAGTTTTTTACAAGCGGATGCTACAAACGATTAGTCAAGGGGTGGTAAACAGCGGAAACGATTCGCCGCACACTATGATGTAAATTTTGTCGCCACCGTAACGACATTTTTCACGGCAGCGTATTGACACGTTTTCGAAATGGCGTCATTTTAGGCTTGTCCAATCGTTCGTGACACAACCGTGCGTCATAGAAAGTTGTGCTGCCCCCACGACTTGCAGACGGTACATTGACTGATGTTGTGAAGTTGAATTGACGCCTTAACATGTTTCGGCTGTCGAATTGTGGAGCAAAACGTGAAAAGCTCTCGAGAACTGGCAAATCCGTTGAGACCGCTCGTCCGCCGGCGCGACTACGCACTTGTCACTTCGCGATTGCCCGACCTTACTAGATCGTCGCCGATTGATCGCAAATTTACATCGCAAGTGTTGTGCCGATCAAAATTTGACAACACGTTCTCGCGCACCATCCTCTCACTATGCACCTTTCAGTTATTACGCGACACTGCAAGACCTCGGCCACGTACCCTGGTCGAGCGAAAATGTCATTGTCCTTCTCGCTCCGGATACCTGGGTACCTGCTAAATGCCGGGACTGGACACACTCGTCCACTCACCCACCGACAGGTCTTTATCCAGCACATCAGATGTGCAAATCATTGCTGCAAGAACTTTGAGCTGAAGCTCCTGCAGCCAGACGTGTTCTTGTACTGATCCTCATCTATAATGAGCCGGTGATAAGTCCAGCATTTGTGTCTCATGCAATGTAGCGCAGAAACCAACTTCTGTGTGAGTCAGTTTTACATGAAACAACATAATTGCTTCGACTTTTTAAGATGAGCCTATGCTATGATCAAAACACCACCTACCTATTCCAATGGGTCGTCATCCGTCTATTCCGAGCTGTAACCTGCCAAAACCGTTTGGTGAGGCCGGGTTCGGGTCTAATGTTTCGTACACCAAGCTCTTTTTCGTTTCAAGTGCTTGCGGACCACTTCGTCTCTCGCTCGTAAGTGCACGCTGATGGGATTTGCATTAATGTGTCCGTAATGACGGCAAATTATTGGTTATTATAGCCTTCACACCATGGGGGAAACATGGTTAGCTAATTATCCGGCCACTGTTAGGTACTGTTGAGTGCTGAACAGGACTGGATGTTTGGCTTTCAGTCAAGGACGTGCCACGACCAGCATTGTCTCCTTGAAATGGCCGAGATTCGAAGCGGGGTTATCCAATGACGGGTTCAGCGCTCTACCAACTGAGCTAACCAGGAAGGGCGGTGCAGGACAATCACTGATATCGTTGTATAGGCCCCAAGCAATGATATCCAAATCAGCCCGACGTAACGGTATCCAAGTAAGCATCATACAATGTCAAACTGAGCCCTTTCAAGTTGTGGAGATTCGCCTGCAAGTATATAAACAGCTGTCATATATGATGCTGTCAGAAATATATGAAACTCAAGGACCTCTGGATTTGGCCTCGGCCACCGTTGAGTGCAAACCGGCGGACACTTATCATGCGCTCAGTGCCCCACATTCACCAAGCCTCTACATCACTAGCTTACAGCTAGGAAAACTGTGAAACATCTCAAACTTGGCCAACCAAAACGTCATTACGTGCATCGCAACAGATCGGAACCTGGGAAAACCGAAGCAAACGAATGCACGGAGAGTTTGCCGCCCCGCGCCAGGCGTAAGTCAAGTTCGTCTTTGCTGTTGTGGTCTTCGCAACGCAACGTCAACTCGACCCGAAAAGACAATGACGTCAGTTGGTATTAGAGAGCACATCGGCCACTTAGGTCATTTTGCGCTGCTCTAAAATTTCAGTTACACGGCGAGCTTAAGCTGCTACTGAGGTAAGTATATCACGTGGATTTCAACAACGACCAAGAACAGTGCCACGCCACATAGGTCGATTTCTATATATTCCCCTTTACTTGAAACCAGGACGACTCCACGTCCAAAGAAATGCTGCCTCTCGGCAACCGGAGGTGCACATTCTACCAGTGTATGCCTGCCAGCGAAGATCTCGCCGCACCCATCGCATGTAGGAACAACAGCACAGCAACAGTATACGTGAATGTATTTGTCGCGTTTGGCACATGGTGTTTCAGCTAGCCACCGGGACGAGAAGGCCGAAGTAGGAACTTTTGAGGCCGCCCCACGGCCATCACTTGCCGCGGACAGCTCGAGAAAGACAGCTCCGCTGGCCGAAAGCGCAGCCAGGCACACCACACTGGTTGACGACGCACGTAAATAAAGACATCGAGCGGTACACGCCGCGCGCCAGAAAGACTCGATTAACAAAACAGATTGATGGTGATTGTAGCGTGCGGTAATATGGCGAGTATGCAGACGCAATCATAGAAACCGAGAAGCTCATGCAAGTTTCTGCTATCACTCGAGCTCGAATATAATCACCTGCCCGTGCGGGCCAATAGCCGATCCATCAAATCGTCGATACTGACTATCTAAAGCTCGCTGCGAAGCCGATGGCTTGAGGCCGCCGGCAGCGCACCCTGGTGCACGCGCCGCGCATTCGTTTGTACACGGTACACCGATAGATGGCGGTCACTGCGCGCCTGGCCATCGCTGGCGGGACGCCGCGCCATCCAGACGACCACGGCCGGCCCGCCAGACAAGCAGTGCCGGCGCCGCCTCCACGGCACTACGTGCTGGGACCGGCTGGCTGGCAGGGGTACTATGTACCGGCAGCAGTACTCGCAGCCGAGGGCTACTCGGGTACGGGTGCCACTCGGCCACCGCCGTACTGTGTGCGAGCGTGCTTATCTCCTAACCGTGCCGCGTGGGAGGAGCTCGTCACCCAGACGACTAAACGGAGCGCGCGGGCCGTTACGACGCGTAACGACGCCACGTGGGCGAGCGAACGACAGTCCCATAATGCTAGTTGCCCGAAGGCCAACGGTAGGCCCCCGACCACGCGAGTGGCGCCTCTGAATACATCGACCGCTGACGCGCGTACGCCCCGGTAGAGCAGCGCCCTCGCCGCGCCGCGCCGCGCGAGGCCGGGCGGCGACCGCGATCGCGACCGGCACCGCCGCCGCCGCTGCCGGGCGCGGCGGCCGGCCGGCGGCTAGACGGCCTTCATCGGCGGCTTCTGCGCCACGGTGAGGTAGCCGCCGCCGGGCGCCGGCGGCGCCGGCTTGGCCATCAAGCGCACCGTGTTCTTCAGCGCCTGGCGTTTGTTGCAGAACCAGATGCGCACCACCTCGCGTTCGTAGCCGAGTCGGCCGGCCAGCTGGGTGATCTCCTGACCTGAAACCAGCGGAGAGCGGTGTCAGCACGCCCCCTGCCGACGGACCAGTCTCAGTAAACGGCCGGGAAAGCCAGAACTGATCGTCGCGGAAAAACTGACGGCTTGCTACACGACGCCCCGCTGATTGGGTGACGTTCTTCTGTCACATGGACACATGTATGTATGCGTGTCGTGCGCATGCAATGGCCACTTATCGTGCCTAACACCTAGAATACGCGACCGACTTTGCCACTTGGTATAGTGACCCGGTCGATAGTTCATCAGGTCCTGGGCATAAAACATGCAAAACCACACCCGCTTACCCAAGGCGGCATTTCCGCGCTGAAAAATGCATCGTTATGCGAACGTAGCCCCATCGCCTCGGCAAATCGAAGACCAGTTACATCCGCACGGCTAACCCGGCCACGACGATCGATGGCGGAAATCAGCCCACTTCGCGAAGAGCTGCCGATAAAAGTCAACGAACACCATGGACCGATGCTGAGGAAGGGCTCGACAGCCGGCACCGTCACCCAGCGAGCACGCTCGCCACAGCGCCTCGCATGCAAACACAGTTGGTGTTCCGCGGTCCCTTCTCACGAATGCTCACGAGGAGCACGCGGTTTTGGTGCGGCTGTAAGTGCTTGAGACGCTGTTTTGATACGGCTGTAACCGTACTTGAATTCAGCGCATTCATGAGTTCAGGACATTTCTCGCTGGTGATCAGACATATTCCACGATCAGACATTGTTAAGTGTTTGGAAGAACCCTGCACGTGTGATGACTCAAAATATTTCCTGACGGTTCACACCAGTTGTCTAAAAGAGCCTTGCATGCAAAGGGATGACTTAACATATTTCTGGTGCTAACAAGCAGATTGTCTCCCAGACGGTTGCTGCACTATGGGACAATAACCTTCAGCCGCGCTGTGCACTTCCGTTCCCACCGGACTCAGCCCTGGTGCGTCACCGTTCACGGCATGCTGCGGCGTCACCGTCCCGTACCATTCTACAGTTTGTTTGGCATCCCTCCCGCTGACGCTCGCTGTCCGGTGGCAGCAGTGGGGTCAGGAGCGGGTTCTGCGGGCCAGGTCAGGATGTGGTGACCCCGTCCGTCGCCCGGAGGCTGGCTGTCCGGTGACAGCGGTGGGGTCAGGAGCGGGTACTGCGGGCCAGGTCAGGATGTGGTGACCCCGTACGTCGCCCGGAGGCTGGCTGTCAGGAGCAGGTGCTGCGGGTCAGGTCAGGATGTGGTGACCCCGTCCGTCGCCCGGAGGCTGGCTGTCCGGTGACAGCAGTGGGGTCAGGAGCGGGTGCTGCGGGTCAGGTCAGGATGCGGTGACCCCGTCCGTCGCCCGGAGGCTGGCTGTCCGGTGGCAGCAGTGGGGTCAGGAGCAGGTGCTGCGGGTCAGGTCAGGATGTGGTGACCCCGTCCGTCGCCCGGAGGCTGGCTGTCCGGTGACAGCGGTGGGGTCAGGAGCGGGTACTGCGGGCCAGGTCAGGATGTGGTGACCCCGTACGTCGCCCGGAGGCTGGCTGTCAGGAGCAGGTGCTGCGGGTCAGGTCAGGATGTGGTGACCCCGTCCGTCGCCCGGAGGCTGGCTGTCCGGTGACAGCAGTGGGGTCAGGAGCGGGTGCTGCGGGTCAGGTCAGGATGCGGTGACCCCGTCCGTCCCGGGACGCTGGCTCAGGCCGCCCGGTAATGACGGCAGCCATCGCGGCCCGACGAGCCCGGCGCCAGATCGGGCGGAGATAGCGTCTGGCGAAGACCTGCCCGGCTCGGACGAGAGCAAAAACACGCCCTGCGAGGACCAGGCTAGCCGCGGCTCTGAAGTGTGACTTGAAGCATTCCCAGACATGCTCCAAACGCACCTCCTCCCGGGAGAGAGAGATGGGGATCACCGAGGCGCACATGACTGGTGCAGTGATGCGCTCTCGAAACGCAATCAATAACTTACAAGAGCACTGAAGAGTCGGCGCTGGAGGACAGGCTGCGGCGCTCGGAGGAGGGGCTCCGGGGTGGACCCAGCACCAGGCTAACCATTGACGAGGGCCGTGAAATCTAACAGCTGAGTGACCCGCTCGCGCCAGGGCTGAGGGGGGTCTTTCGGGGTCGTCTTTTGCGACACTGGGGAGCCAAAGCTTTGGGGCGGCATCGCAAAATGGCACGCGACACCGGCTCCGAAGTAAAAGGGCATTGAGGAAGTAGGAACATCACATGCCCGGGATCGCGGCGCTCTGGGAATAAGGAGTCTCGGCTCCCTCCGTGACGGAAGCACGTGTGCAAAGGACAGGCAGGCCGAGTGATCGGCTGTTGGCCAAAACACTTGGGTCTATTGCCCACTGTCACAATTTCCAAGATGTATGTGTACATACATACATACATGCATATACATATATATATACATATATACATATATATATATATATATATATATATATATATATATATATATATATATATATATATACGGAATGCTGGGGCGGCCGTTAAACGTTAAACCCAATGTCGCACAAGCCCACAGAATCAGCTCTTACGACGGCGGTTAGACCGACGGGTTTGTCACCAGCTCTGCAATGAACTGAGCACGGCTCGGCCGCGGCCAAACCGGATCGAGCCCGGTTTTCTAACAGAAACGTTCGTCCGCATCGGGAGCAGTGAAAGGGCGCGACATTCTGGACAGGTGGCGCGCTTCTGGGGAGATCGCTGGGGGACGAACGCGCCGCCCAGTTTGTGACACACGCCACCGCTGGCATGGAGCGACATCTGTCGACAAACCTAAGCATTGCAGGAGAGGCCTGGGGCGTCACATTGGCTTCGGTGACGGTAGGGCCCGGGAAGTAGGAAGCACCGGCGCGTTGCTTAGTTAACAGATCTTGGCGAACGCTGTCAACGTGTTCTCACGCGAGAAGTGTCCTTGGGCGGAGCGCTTGTAAAGTAATTTATAGTTCTTAAAAGAAACCGTCACATGTTTGTCTTCCTAGAAGTCTTGATGTCGCGTCTTCCTTGTCCTCCTTGCCAGCAGACACGCACACTCGATAAAAACCTGGGTGAAGCGCCATCTATTCTAGGGGAACTGGCCAACACCTGCCCGCATATCGAACCCGCGAGAGGGGGGGGGGGGGAGGCGTTGAAACGCACGTGTTTACCACCCTCCGGTGCGACGATTAGGTAGGGCTTTGTATCTGAGGCGACCCTGCGTAGGGCGGATGATCGCGCTGATGAAAACTCGCCGTTATGCATGGCAGGGGGGGGGGGGCTACTAAGGAGAGAGAGGGTGTGTTGCAGGTTACAAGGTGTGATAATCAGATAGCATAAACGGTCAGACTCTACGGGTATTCAGGCCCCAAGCCTATAGTGTAACCAAAGAGACCACGGCCATCACCGTCATTACGGAGCTGTACGATATATTCAGCTAGCTGCTCAAACTATATCGCGTCGCATGCCTCTCACCCTAGCAAGAAGGGCGGGCACCGCGGGGAATCGAGTCCTGTACCTCTGGTTTTCCAGACGCGCAGCAGTGAACGCCGCCGCGTTAACCGCTACACTACCGGCACCCCCATGTGGAGGTTCGACGTCCGTTAGTCCCTGTCCTCGTTACCTCACAAGTCGCAAAGGTTTTGCGGCAAGCCGCCGTATTTCATCGATTACCCCAGCCCGGGCGTTCTAACCTCCGTCTGTCCGACGCCACCGATCTGACACGAGCATAAGCGTGCTAGCAGGGTACAGGGGCAAACCGCGTCCGGTTCGGGGTATCGTCGGCATCTGAACACCTCCCGCCAACCGTGCCGCCGGCACCGCTGAGGCACCAGACGTCCAATTACCCTCCCGTCGCAGGCGGTCGCAGCCAGCTCAACCGCACGACACCGCCACGCCGGAGCGCCCTCCGCAGCCGCGTCACCGTCCACCTACCGGACGGGTGCGTGTTACGCTCGAAGTGCGCGTTGAGGGCCTCCAGCGCCTGCGGCGTGAACGAGGTGCGCCGCTTGCGCTTCTTGGAGGGCTCCGTGCCGCAGAAGTCCACCAGGTTCTGCGCGCCCAGCTTGTGCCTGCCGACAGCAGTCGTCTGGTCAGGCGGCCGGCTGCGCACGCCCGGCTGCGCACGTCCGGCTGCGCACGCCCGGCTGCGCACGTCCGGCTGCGCACGCCCGGTCTGAGGCTGCCGACGGGAGCCGGTCAGTGCGCGGCACGCCGCCGAGCCCGGCTCCTCTGTCGGGCGTCTCGAGTGGGGCGATCCCGCGCTGGGCACGTCGTCATACGCCGGCTCTGCTGGGGCCGGGCGCCGCGCGCGGCTCTGGGGGGGGGGGGGGGGGGGGGCTGCGCGGGGTCCGCACGTCCCGGCGGTGTGCACTCGCGGAGGCTTCAGTGAATTGAACGTTCATCCAGGTGAGAATGCCGCAACGCATTAGCGAGACATAAACAAACGCGATCAAACAAAACTGCACGCCCCTCTCCTCCGCACCAAAGGCTGTCCATAGTTTACAATCACACCACACCCCTTACGCTGTCTGCTGTACAAACATATCACAGAGTCGAACAGCGTGATTCCTGCGCCCGGCGAAAGCATGTGTCCCAAAACACGACCAGGCGTGGCTCAAGAAAGCGAGGGACATCGATGCAGCAGTGCAGTGGCACACAAAAGCATGGAGCTGCTCTTGCGACGCGACAGTCGGCATTACATTACCTGTACCTTTCTTCAGCCTCCCGCATCCACTTCTCGAGGATGGGCTTGATCTTCTGCGCGCTCTTGGGCGTGATGTCCAGCTTCTCGAACCTGCCGGCAGCGCACGGCACGTCGTATCACCAGGCATCTCACTTCTTACAAGCAAATCCAGCGGATGCTCTTTTGTGTACGTATATACAGATCTCAATGCCTTGTAGCGGCCACTGATGGCACCAACACGCCTCATGCTGCGCTCCAAAACGTGAGGGGCCCCCTACCTCGGCTGCTCTCAGCCCAGGGTTCGGGGCTGGAAGCAGTGAGGCAAGGGTTCCCATCAGTGAGCAGCAAAAGCTGGCGGGTTGACTGGGGCCGATCATCAGCATGCGATACGCGGTGGCGTCAGTAAATGCCAAGGTTGGAACGGATGAATTTCGGCCCAGACGTATTCGCCCGCAGGAGCCCGAATCCGGTTATTATTCGTCGTCCACAGGCCTTCGGAACGGGACTGCAGCCTCAGTCCAAAGGCCTGAAGCTCTGGTTCTGTATGTGCCTACACCCTCCCGAGCGTGCCTATCCGAGCCAAACGCGACCTCGCTCCCATCTGCAGGTGCCGTGTCCGCCCACCTCTCACCTGCAGATGGCCGACTGGCTGTAGGCCGGGCCCATGCTGACGCTCAGCGCCTGCCCCACCTGCCGGTGACGGACGGACGCGGCTGTGAGACGCACGTCGGCGACGGCAGGACGCGCAGGAGCGGCCCTCCGGACGGCCCAGCCAGCGCGCAGGCCGCGCAACAGTCAGGACATGATCCACTCCTCACTGCCCGACTAGCGCCGTCATGCCATGCCGGCGGCTAAAGGCTCAAGGTCCGGGAGTGTACAGCGTTGGAAGGCCGGGAGGCACACAGGGCGCCGTCACAAACTGCGGGCCGCAGCATATGAGAAAGCTTGACTGAAAGCTTGACTGGTGCTCTTAGCATTCCCTGCGAGCCGACCCGCCTTCGAGGCGCAGCGCCCGGTGCCAGAGGAAGAAACTAACAGTCCAAGTTCTCACCGCCTGAGCACGGTGCCGAATATATCCGCCGCCGTACTTAAGCCGAGGAGGAGGCCGACACTGAGGCAGGACTGAAACCTCCCACGGGAGACGATGAGAAGAGGGAAGAGGGTGGGTCCGCGTGCCTTCGCCAGGCTCGTGCCGCAGCAGCGGGCCGACGAGGACGCCGATCCTGCCGGAAAGCAGCGCTCGTCTCACCTGCGTCTGCGTCAGGCCCAGACTGAGGCGGCGCATCTTGAAGGCGCGCGCGAACTCCTTGACCTCCTCGAGGTCGATGCCGTCCACCATGTTGGCCGTCACTTGGTTGATGGTCGGCTGGTCTGCGGGCGCCGGCCGGCCGGTCAGAGCGGCGGTGGGCCACGCTCGCGATCCGACGGATCAGCCCTCGTCCCCGCCGCTTCAGAGCACCACGCGGCCGGCCGCGCCCCCCCCCCCCCCCCCCCCCCCCCCCCCGGCTGTCACAATGGCGTTCAGCAAACACACGGCCAGACGAGGCGCAGGGCTGGCGAGTCCGTTCAGCGGGCTAGTGGTGCCACCTAGCGGACGAAGAATGAACCTTACGTTGCCAGGGGTTCCAATAAACTGCTCGCCCCACGAGCTCACAGCTGCCCACCGACTCGACTCCGTCACCGGCAGCGGCGGCGACAGGACACTCACTGCCGGCGTCGAGGAAGGGGTCCTGCCAGTCGGCGACGTCCGGCGGGCTGTCGTCGGCCGGCCGCGGCGGCGCCGGCGGCAGCGGCGGCGGCGGGCAGTACTGCGGCGCCGCCGCGTGCACGGCCAGCGACGGCGGCGAGCTGGCGCCGCTGGTGACGGCCGTCGCCTGTCGGCGCGCATCGGCGCTGTCACACGCCGCCACCGAGGGAGACGATCACGGCAGCCACCAGCCTACGGACGGCGCTACAGACGGGCTAACATCCTGACCGGGATAACACAGGGAAGGATGCTGATTATTTCTACTGCCCTGCACTTTATCAAACTAGTGTACTTCCTGATCTCAGAACATTACGACGACTCTTTTACATAAACGAGATAGGATAGCCAAACACGCCTATGAACTGAAAGAGGGCAAAGAGGGAAAGAGGGCAAAGAGGGCAAAGAGGGCAGGGCAAAGAGGGCAGGAACTGCACGGAAATCGCATATTAGAGGCCACTTCTTCCCGCCTGCAGCCATCAGTGTGCATTTCACGTAGATTACATGCCCAAAAACACAATCAAAGCCAGCAATAACCCGTCGCAGTTAACGCAGCCTCGGAATGAGTGAACATTCCCACCAGCAGACTGACAGCGCGGGCAGACCCCATCGCAGTGCACCACCGGTGCGCGGCACGGCAGCAGACGCCAGCCGAAAACAGCCGCTCGCCGTCCTCGGGGGCGGCGCCGACACATGTGCACACAGCATACGCAGGCCCCGGCGACCGCGGCCGTCTGCCCCGCTCCCTCCACTTACGAGCGTGAGGGGCGCGGCCGCGGGCGCCGCCAGGCCGTGCAGGGCGGCCAGGCCGGGCACGGCCGGCGCCGGCGGCGCCACCAGCGCCTGCAGGTTGGCGGCCGTGGCGGCGAACACCTGGCCGCCGCTGAGGCAGAGCTGTGCCAGCCCGCCCGACGCCACCTGGCTCACCGGGATGGTGATGATGGGCTGCATGGTCACGCCTGCCGGACACGGGCGCCGAGGGCGCAGCGTCAGCGGGGCGGAGCGGCTCGGCGACGCCACACGACACCGAATACGGGAGTTGGCTACGGAATTGTTGGTCCATGCCGTCCTTACGTCAGCTTAATCGGACAGCGTCCTCCGTGAAAAAAAAACAACAGCACACAACACACGAACAAACAGCAAACAACTCACGAACAAACGGCAAACAACTCACCAACAAACAGCAAGTAACTCGCCAACAAACAGCAAACAGCTGCCGAACAAACAGCAAACAGCTCACGAACATACATCAAATACACGTCATCCGAAGCGTGTCACGCCGCATTCCGCGCAAATGCACGCCACCGCCATTTGTACCAGTGGTGTGCAACTTGGCACCGACCTGCTTCCCACGTTAACGCACCCAGTTCCAAAACAAACCAAGCGACGACGTGGTCATGGCGTTACATACGCGTAGGTACCTGGTCTTGTTTTCGCGCGGTGTGCGGGTGAATCACACGCGTACGTGCGACCTGATCATTTACAAACATTTTTGAACATGAAAATTAAAGACCACGACGTTACGGGACCGTCGAAAACACACCCAGCTTTAATTCAAGGCTGGGAGCACTCTCTGACGATGCCCGCCATCAAGGCAACCGCTGGCCAACAGTGACAACTGCCGACAGATGTAAACGTAGGGGGAAGCCAAGCCATCTCTGGAATACGAGCACAAGCCGCCAAGGATGCCATCGCGCATACGTCGGCATATGCTGCAATTCGGTTCCCACGTGGAGCTGTGCTAACGATTAGTACCTTGGTGGCCTGCATGAAGTTTGGTTCCACGGCATGATGGGGACGGCATGAACTGCAGTTTAGCTGAAGTGAGACGCACTGTACCGTGGCCACCTTGGGAAGTGATGACGTGCTGACTTGGTACCATTCATGGTAACGCAGCCGTCTTAAGTACCGCCGCTATGACAGCGCACCATGCCCGTCACGTTCGTCAGGGCACGGCACGCCGTCTGAGGACGACACGGCGCGTGCGCCGCTTACCGTGAGAGGTGGGTATGATGAGCTGGGCGCCCTGGATGCCCTGCGCCAGCTGACCACCGGCCAGGATCAGCTGCGGCACGGCGGCCACCGCCTGCGGCAGCAGCTGCGGCGGCGGTGGCTGCACCACGGCTCCTGCCGCTGTCGGGACGCAGGCCGCGCGAGCACGGCGGTCAGCGGAGCGGCCACCAAGGACAGCCGGCACTGACTGGTGGCTACGGAGTGCCACCAAGGACATCAGCCACTGCACACCCGGAGTATCTCCGCCACCGGCCACTAGGAACTCTACCATTCGGCGCTCGCTGGGGGCGCCACCGTTCCCTGTCACAAAGGGCCCGCCGCTCGCCACGACAGAGCCCGGTGGCGTGTCTCAAGAACGCTCCCACAGTCTGGTCGGCCGCCCGTTTTGGAAGGTACAGACAATGTTTGACAGCAGCTCCACAGAGGGCCCGGCGGCACGACGTCCTGGGGACGGGTCCAGCAGCGCGTCTGCCCGCCTGCGCGGACGGTGCGCCTGTGCTAAGGGGGTTGACTGACCCATCTGTCCGGCGGTGGCCGCCTGCAGGCCGGCCAGCTGCGCCTGGATCGTCATCAGCTGCTGCAGCTCGTGCAGCGACATGCCCACACCGGCCGGTCTGGCGGGCTCCGGCGGCCCTGGTGGGGGTCAGAGATATGGGGGTCAGATATCACGGTGTGACGATCACGGGGTCACGATCACGGGGTCATGATCACGGGATCACAATCACGAGTCGCTATCACGAGGTCGCTATCACGGAATCACAGCCCCGGGATGGAAGACGGAGCCGGTCACAGCCGACTGTCCTGGGGAGAGGTACAGAGAGCCAACGCCAGCAGAAAAACGGAGGGGGGCGTATCCTGCGACGCCCGGAGAAGGACGGATACGGGTCACACTGACGGGGCCCGTCCGATCCTGAGGCACTGCATGGGGACGGAGAGGGATGGCAAACAGGGGGTTCGTACTCTGTACATCCCCGAGGAAGCTTCGGAGTCGGTTCTGGCAGATTGGGTAGCACAAATGCATGCTTAAGTGCTCCCAAAGACAACACGGAATGAGTCAGGAAGGAAACGCCTGAGGAAAGACACAGATGGAAGGAAACGTCCGTGATTCAGAATATTCTTTCAGGACTGGTGCAAAATTTTCCACGGATGTGTTTGCCTACTAATGTGTGCGCTAAGCATACCTAGCTTATACGCAAGTATACGTTGATGAGATTCATGCCCAGGCGATGAGCATGTATGTGATATTTACCCGGCAAACAGGTGAACAAAAAGGGTCATTTGTTAAAACCTCTGACCACGTGACACGTGACACTATTTTCGTTTTGCATGCACGGTTCTTCCTCAGAGCATCTCATCTTACACGTCTATGGACACCGGGGTTCGCGTAATGATGCGTGTTCCCCCTGATGACTTTAATATCCAAAGTACACGTGACCATCCACAAGCACTGTTTCACCAAGTCGAACGTACCCTGGCTGCAGCCTCCCGACAGCCCAGCGCACTTCGGTTCCCGGCACATGGACAGCATGCGCACGTGGCCTAATCAGCAGCACACAGGGTTTGCACGCCGCGCCTGGAGGCGTCTCACCGCCCACTGACGCCCCCCCCCCCCCTCCCCCGGGGCCCGTCACCAAGCGTGCCGGACCCGTCCGCCGCTGACCTGGATCGGCGGCCGGCCGGGCCGCCTCCTCGCCGGCGGCGGCCGCCTCCTCCTTGCAGCTGGGCACCGCCGGGGACAGACCCTGCCGGCAGGGCCAGAGGCGGCGGTGAGGACCGCCCAACACCAACCATACCAAAGTCAGAGGTCAGGTCCCGTTGCCTTCGCCCCAGGCAAATCCCCGGTACTCCGCTGTTAAAGTCCGCTCACGTGCGTCCCCGACAAGCCACGTAAGGCGCCGCGCCCGGCAGCCAGCTGCATTGACACCCCCGCCGCATGATGGAATACGAGGGCGGGAAGGCCCGGTCACTAGACAGACACAGCGCAACATATCATGCCGGACAATGGCTTCATCATTCATCAGCCGAGCTGCCAGTTGTTGGCCAGCTGGCCCTGCGGTACCCGCGCTGAAACGTGACCGTGCCGGCGGCAGTACACCAGGTCACCACCCCCACCCCCGCCAGTCAGAGCAGCGCTCGGGCCCCCACCGGTTCGCAGGCGTGCCGCCAGGTGTCTTTGACTCAGACGGAGATCGATGGTGCCAGCGACCGACGGTCACACGGAATGTCACCAGGGACGGCCGGAGGTCACACGGACTGTCACCAGAGACGGCTGGGGGTCACACGGACTGCCACCAGAGACGGCCGGAGGTCACACGGACTGTCACCAGAGCCGGCCGGAGGCCACACGGACTGTCACCAGAGACGGCCGGAGGTCACACGGACTGTCACCAGAGACGGCCCGAGGTCACACGGACTGTCACCAGAGACGGCTGGAGGTCACACGGACTGCACCAGAGACGGCTGAGGTCACACGGACTGTCCACCAGAGACGGCCAAGGTCACACAGGCTGT